ACCTCTCCCACTTCCCCTACCCCTTTGGACCTTTTCTTCTTATTTCACATTTTCAGTTATTCATTTTAATCCTTATTTACACTTTAGTTTCTCACACCAGTGAAGCTATTCAGTATTTACACGTGTGTCCTATTTATTTCACTTGAGTATGGCCTCAATGTGCATCCATTTAGCCATAAATGTCTCTAATTTCTCATTGTTTGTCTGAGTAGTACTCCATTTTATTAAAAAACAAACAGTATTTTCTTTATCCAGTCTCCAGTTGATGGGCACTTGGGCTTTTTCCAAGCTTTAGCTATCACGAATTGTGCCGCTATAAACATGGGTCCACGTATATTGCTGTGGTGTGATTCTTTTAATTCTTTTGGGAAGATACCCATTAGAGGATAACAGGATCAAATGGGACCTCTGGTCCTAGTTTTTGAGGTATCTCCTTATTGATTTCCACAGTGGTTGCACCAGTCTGCACTCTCACCAACAATGGAGAAGGGTTCCTTTCTCCCCAAAACCCCATCTGCATTTGTTGGTTGATTTCTTGATAGCAGCCATTCTTTCTGGGGTGAGGTGGACTCTCGCATTGTTTTCATCTGCATCTCTCAACCAGTGATACTGAACATTTTTTCATGTGTTTATTTGCTGCTCTTGGTTTTGTTTTGATTTTTTTTTGCCTGGGAAATGTCTGTTCATTTCAGAAGCCTATTTTTGAATTGGGTCTTTAAATTAAGTTCTTTGTGTAGTCTAGATAGTAGTCCTTTGTCTGAGGAACAGCTGGTAAAAATTTTTTCCCACATTGTAGGTTGTCTCTTGGCTCTGTTGGTAGTTTCTCTTGCAGTGCAGAAGCTTTTTAATTTATGAAATGCGATCCCAATTGTTGATTCTTTGTGCTAATTCCTGTGCTACTGAAGTTTTGTTCATAAAGTCTTTTCCTATGCCGATGTCTTAAAGAGTTCTACCTAATTTATCTTCCAGCAAGTTTAGTGTTTCTGTTTTAATATTTAGATCTTTAATCTACTTTGATATTAGTTTAGTGCATGGTGATAGATAAGGATCTATTTTTAATCTTTGGCAGGTTGAAATCCAGTTTTTCCAACACCATTTATTAAATAGGCTATCTTTCCTCCAGTAAGGGTGGTTGGCTCCTTTGTCAACGATGAAGTGGCTTAGTATATCTTCAGTTGTATCTGCATCTTCTAATCTATTCCACTGATCCTTGGGTCTGTTTCTTTGCCAGTACCATGCTGTTCTTATCACAGTGGCTTTGTCATATAGTTTCAAGTTGGATTGTGATATCCCCCCTGTCGTGTCTCTCTTGCCTAGAATGGCTTTTGCTATTCTGGGTCTCTTCTGGTTTCAAATGAATTGTTTGATTGTTTTCTCTAGTTTGGTGAAATATGCTGTTGGGGTTTCAATTGGGATTGCATAGAATCTGTATAGTAGTTTTAGAAGTATGGCCATTTTCACTATATTGGTTCTTCCTACCCAGGAACAGGGATGTCTTTCCCTTTTCTTATATCCTCTTTAATCTCTTTTTTTGGAGTGCTGTAGATTTCACTGTAGAGGTCGTTTGCTTTCTTCGTTAGATTAATAGCTAGATAATTTCATTTTTGGGGGTGCTATTGTGAAAGGAATTCTCTATTTCTCAGGTAGTCTGTTATTTGTGTATAAGAAGGCTATTGATTTTTGAGTGTTGACCTTGTATCCAGCTACTCTACCGATTCTGTCAATTAAATCTGGAAGTCTTAAATAAATAGATAAATAATACGATGATAAAAGAACATGGTCAATAGTTATGTAAACTTAGGTAAATATTGGCATACAGAACTAAATTTTTAATGTATTAGACACTGTCATTTATACTCTGGTTTGAAAAATCCAGTAGATTCTGCATTTCCTTTTTTAAAGTTTCTTGTGTGAGTATGCATATTTTGGCGGCAGTTGCTGGGGATAGAATGGACCCAGCACCTTAAGAATACAAGACCAAGGGGCCAGGGATTTAGCTGAGTGGTTCTGCTGCCTGAAAAAAAAAGACATGTGCCCTACTTAGAAGCTGTTATCCCTAAGTTTCATAATTTTTTAACTCCAGCTTAAGCAACATTTTAATATAATAGCTTATAAGGGAAAAATTCTCTGGTCTGGATAATTTAGCGACATGTGCCCTACTTAGAAGCTGTTATCCCTAAGTTTCATAATTTTTTAACTCTAACTTAAGCAACATTTTAATATAATAGCTTATAAGGGAAAAATTCTCTGGTCTGGATAATTTAGCTTATAATGAATGTTCCCTTGCATCCCATATCTATATAGTTCTTGCGGTTGTAATAATCCATGAGTTGTGATCATTGTGTGGTAAATACTGTTTCTGAAGTCAGGCTGCCTGGGTTTGGATCTTGACTTTATAGTTGGTCTCCATGCCTCCTCTTTTTTGTGTGTGTGCATGTGTGTGCGTGTGTGTGTGTTTAGGATAAGAATCAAACTGAGTGCCTTGTGCAAGCTAAGCATGTTCTCAACAGGAACTTGCCTCCCCAGCTTTCTTTCTGTGTGTATGTGTCTCAAAATGGGCCATCTGTAGAGTAGATCTACTGGTATAACTGTTGTTTGAAGAAGTAGTGCCCAGCCTACAGAATTGCCTAACAAATACTTTTGTTATTGTGGTGGTTATGCATTATGTGAAAGCATTTTTCAGATTTGGTATTTATTGATCCTAAAATGTATATTTTAACTTATATGAAAATTGTGATACATTCTAAAATACTTGATGTGTCACCATTTAACGAACAACTTTTTCTTTGTACTGTGCATATGGTTTAGGTTTTATAAAATGTGATACTATAATTTTGAATCTCTGTGAGTGATCTAGTGACCAAAGAACAATTCCTTACTCACCTAACTTTGGTTTATTCCTATTTCTTGACTTTTATAAGCAGTGCTAATATGTGGGAATATGAGTTTCACCATTTTGTACAGTCTTCACTAAAGGATGTTTGTCAGAGATTTGTTGTAGTTTGGAATTATTTTCAGGTGCTTTGGTAATGTCGGAAATATGGAAACTTACTCAAACTCACATTTAAAAATCTGTTTATTTAGAAAAGTAAAGGAGAATTTCATGGGGGCATAATTAATAGGAAGTAGACCTCTCAGAAGCTGCTTTTTTGTTTTGTTTTGTTTTGTTTTTTGGTATTGGGGATCGAACTTAGGACCTTGCTCTTGCGAGGCAGGCAGCAGAATCACTGAGCTAAATCCCCAGCTCTCAGAAGCTGATTCTTAAGTCAGCAACTTTGGGGATTCTGCAGTTCTATCTACCCAGTTTTACCTTGATTAAACATATTTAGGAGTTGTTGATATCATAAAGGCTGAATTTGTTTTGTTTTTAACCTGTAAGCTAGGATCTCTTGTAAGAACCCCCTCAGGAAGGGAGTTTATGACGTTTAGTATAGTTCAATATCTTGTAGGTTATAAAAGATAATTGACTCTCACTGGCTTTTTGATCTACTCTCTTGTGCCTATCATCCAAGGGAAGGGTTTGTGGCTGAGAAGACGGTCAAAAGTAACTTGCTAGAAAGGGATGAACTTTTCATGATATCATCAATGTACTTGAGAACCATTAAACCCTGTTGTTTGCTCAGATGAGGTGAGAGAAGGGAGGATTGTACACCCCAGTCTTCTCTCTCTCCTTCCTCATTGTCTCTTTTTTCATACTATTCTCCCTTCCTCGCCCAGTCCCCATGCTCGATGTCTGCCTTTCACCTTTGTATTTTTGTGATTAGGTAATGGGTATAAGAGACCACTTTAAATAAAATGCTTCAAATAATTACACTGTGCGTAATAAGAGTAATATGCTTTTGTACCAAAAAAAAAAAAGTACAGATCACTGTAAGAACCAGCCTACAAGCTCAGACTTGACCATCAGGTGACAAAAATGAAAAATAAACAGGCACAGAAACAAGTTAAAATCTGGAGGGCCAGAGGGCTCATTGCCTCCCTTTAACAAACGGCAAACCCCAAGTGACTGGCGAACCTTGGCTTTATTCACTCAGACACTGGCAGAGGCAATTACAGTTAACAGGGTTCATCTGTCTTTCACCCTCCAGGTACTTGCCTGGATAGACAACTTCACCTCAGGTATTTTTACTTTTTGCTGCAGCGCGTAAGCGCACTTGCATGCCTTTCTTCTCAGTGCTCACCAAGGGGGCCAATCAGGCCTCATTTTTCCCATCTGGTCTCCCACAAATCACTTGTTTTGTGATACTGGAGATTGGATTCAGGTGCACTCTACCATTAAGCTATAGTCTCACCCCTTTTTATTTTATATCTTGAGATACATTCACTTTAAATTGTCCGGGCTGGCCTAGAACTTGTGATCCTTCTGCCTCAGCCTCCCTAGGGTAGGATTACAGGCATGCCCCAATCACACCTGGCCAGATCGCTGTTCTTGACTTGAAATAATAAATATTTCCAGTGATAGAATCAGACTCTGTCCAGTTTTTGTCACAACTGCACCACCAATAAAAGTAATAATACACTCTGAAGCCAGGTATGGTGGCACATACCTGTAATCCCAGCCCTTGAGAGGCTGAGGCAGGAAGATCACCACAATTTCAGAGGGCAGCTCAGGCTACATAGTGAGTTCAAGGACAGTCTGAACTACATAGTGAGACCCTGTCTCAAAAAAACAGAATAAATACCTCTGGAAAATTGCTATAGATAACCAAAAGTTTGCTCTAGATACATAAGAATAAGAGCATTCTCACATCTCAAATGGTTTGAATAAATTTTATGCAAATTTTCAGGTAGGATGGTATAAAGTACTATTTTATTTTTAAATTTAAAAACTGCATAGGTACTTTTACTATATAGGTAATATTTACTATATAGATAGTATTTATTAGAATTAAATTATTTAAGTTTCTTCATATTTAAATAATGGGAAAGCCCATTATCTACATTTGTGACTTTGGTCTACCCACTTTTAAATTTTACAAATAGATTCTTTTATTATTTAGCAGGTAACATCTAAAGGGACTGGTTTAAATCCTAATGCCAAAGTATGGCAAGAAATTCCTCCTGGAAATCCTGATGCCACTCCTGTGACTCATGGAACTGAAAGCTCTTGGCCTGAAACAGCAGCCACATCAGGGTCTCAGACTGAGGGTAAGGCCTAAATGTTTCATGGGGAAAAAAACACATTTTGACAAAGTCTATGGTCAAACAAGTATATAGAACTTTGGATATGTCCTTTGATAATTTGATAAGTTATATTTCATATATAATTCTTATTTATACTCAACATAAATGGATTGTCACTAATTTCAAGTAGTAGTTGTATCCTGCGGTCTAACATTTAAAGGCTGTAAGGCAGCCTACTCAAGAGGGGCTATGGCAGTGGTACAGGGACCACTGCGACTGTTTTGTGGTGGAGGACAGAGATTGAGGCACTGGATGCTAAATCTTCAAGTGTAGAAGCTGGATGTGGTGGCACACGCCTGTAACCCAGCACTTGGGAGGCTGCACTTAGAGGACAGCCTAGGCTACATAGCAGGGTCCTGTCTCAAAATACAGAAAGAAAAGGAGGTTTAGAGATCACACCCAGAGCTAGGCCAAGTGTCTGAGGGTCAGGCCTAATATTGGGAGAACAAGCCCTGGTTGGCAGAGGACACTGGAATATTACCCTTTTCTCTCCACACCAGGGGAGCAGACTCTGAGTGTGACTGCTGAGCCTTCCTTTCCGTTTCCGCAGAGCTAAGGGCATATTCCTAATTACTAGCTGGATAAAGTCTCCTATGAAGGAAGAGGCTTAAGAGCAGCCACATTCCCAACACAGCAGCTTCAGAAAGCTCTAACTGGGTCAGTGCACTGGTTGGTGGCAGATGCCGGCCTAAAAAGCCAACCTATCTCCAGAATTTTGTCATTTAAGATTTTCCTGCCCACCTATAATCCCAGCACTCCCGAGGCCAAGACAGGAGGATCCCCATGAGTAACAAAATTACTTTTACATAGAAGAAAGGCTTACTTGTTTTTTAATTTTGATTGGGGTTCTCCATACATAGTCCTTAAAATTGTGGATTTTATGTTTTAACCAAGTAGTACCTGGGGAGAATAAGACTACTAATGTACTGTCTGGAAATGCATCAGGTACAAACTACCTTAGTTCAGGAATTTAAATTTTTTTTAAAAGCCTGGCTCCAACATTTAAAATACATTTATCATTTATACTTTATTATTTAGGTTTTTGTTTTTATTTTTGTTTTTGTGGTACTAAGGCCTAAACCCAGGGCCTCATGCATGCTAGGCAGGTGCTCTATCATTAAGCCATAGTTTAGGTCTTTTTAAAATTTATTTTGAAACGTGTTCTAAGTTATTCAAACTGGCTTGAACTTTTGATGACTCAGCTAGTCATCTAACCTTAGTTTCTTGAGTAGCTTGTATCCATACCAGGACTACAAGTATGTTTTACCACACGGGGCTATAGTTCACTAACATTGGCTTTGCAATTTAATTAGTATTTGACCTTGGGTATATGACTTTTATACTACTTGTTTTCCTTCATCAAAACAGATGATAAGTAGCCAGGCGTGGGGTACCCCTATAATCCCAGCACTTGGGAGGCTGAGGCAGGAGGATCGCTGTGAGATCAACACCAGCCTGGGCTACATAGTGAGTTCCAGGTCAGTCTCAACTACATAGTGAGACCCTGTCTCAATAAATTTTAGTTACTGTTAATCATTTTAAGTTATCTGTAATGGCCAAAAGTTACCTCCCTTGGGTAAGTTAAGTAAGTTTTGTTTCTAAGACAGGATCTCACTATGTAGATCAGGCTGACTTTGAACTCACTATGTAGCCCAGACTGGCCTCAGACTTGCAGCAGTTCTCCTGCCTCAGACTACAAAGTGGTAGGATTATAGGTGTGCAGTACCACACCCCCCACACTTAAATAAATATAATGCTTAAAACTGTGTGGAGCTGGATCTCAAGGCACATGGCTGTAATTTTATCTACTCAGGAGGCTAAGGCTGAATAGCAAATTTGAGGGCAGATTAAGTAAGATGCTGTCTCAAAGGTTTTTGTTTGTTTGTTTTAAGAAAAGGGCTAGGAACCAGTCATGGTGACACACACTTATAATCCCAGGTCCCAGGAGCCTGAGGCAGGAGGATTACTGTGAGTTTGAGGGCAGCCTGGGCTACATAGATCCTGTCTCAAAAAACAGAAAAAGTCTGAAGATCTGGCTCAGTGTGTATGATGAGGCCCTAAGTTTAGGGAGGCTGAGGGGTGATGGGATGGATGACGACTTGTCCTTTCTTACTCAAGTTTTTAAAAAAAATTCTAGGCTAGGGATGCAGCTCAGTGATAGAGAACTTTTCTAGCATGCATAAGGCCTTGGCTTGATCTCCAGTGCAGCAAAAGTAAAATCATGTGGACATTTCCCGCTGGTAGAATTCCTTGAAATCTTGTTAGGGAAAACATACTACCTCCAAGCTGAGCATGGTAGCGCACACCCTGTAATCCCAGCACTCGGGAGGCTGAGGCAGGAGGATCGCTGTGAGTTCGAGCTATACGAGTTCACTGTGTAGCCTGGGCTACAGATCAGTCTCAACTATATAGTGAGACCCTGTCTCAAAAAACAAAACAAAAAATACTGCCTCTGGAGTTTGGATTAAAATAATTTCTGTCTACTTTCAATACAGGCAATACAGAGCTTTCGGAAGATATGTGTAAAGAATATGAAATAATGTATCCTCCATCTTGTGAAACTACAAGAAATACTGCTGTTGATGAAGAACCAACTGAGGGAATGATTTTAGGACCTGAAGATATGAGTTACCAAATATATGACATTTCTGGTAAACTTTGTGGATTTTATTGCTGCAATCAGAATTCAGCACACACAAATCAAAAACTATTGAGATTATTAAAGAGTATGACTGACATCAGTTCTACTAATACTAAAAGAAATGTGCAGTAATTATATGTTCCAATTAGTTAAGCTAGTTTGTCTTTAAATGTAAAATAGCCTACTTTTGTACTTTCAGTTGCTATTAAAGGAATACAGTAAGTAGTTACAACGTTTCTTAAATGTAACAGGTACTGCTTTGCACCATAATAGCCAAGTGCTTTTGGTATTAATAATCCTTTGTTAATTCCTTGATAAAGTAGCTTTAATATGAAATTATCTGAAAAAGAGTTAAGTTGGGAGATATTAGACCTTGATCCATCCAAGTTAAAAATTTTTTAAATACTACAGTTTTGTAGTAAATTTTAATTTGTGGATAGTTTGTGACTTCTGGGTATAATATGTAAGTTTCACCACTGTGGTAACTTAGTATTAACTTTTTTGTTTTCTTCCATTAGGAGAAAGCAGTTCAGCAATTTCTACAGAAGATCTAAAAGAATGTCTGAAGAAACAATTAGAATTCTGTTTTTCACGGTACACAATCTTTTTAACTGATACACCTACTTTTTTTTAGTTAAATTAGTACATGTGCAGTGTCTATGAAATACAAAAGAATGTCAGAAACTTTAAAATTAAGCAATTTTTAAATCACTTTTTAATGGTATATTTTGGCATCATTCTTCAGTATACTTCTTAACTAGATTTATAGGAATAGTCTCTGATTTGATATGCAAAGGATCTATGTCTCCTATTTATAGAATACTTTCAGGCAGATGTGTGGGTTTTGTTTTGGTTTGGTTTGGTTAGGTTTTTTGGTTTTTTGAGACCAGGGTCTGATCTCACCATATAGTTCAGATTAGCCTTGAACTCACTTTGTGTTCTAGGCTGGCCTCCATCTTGTTGCAGTCTTTCTGTCTTTGCCTCTGTAGTGCCAGGATTAAAAGTGTGCAACACCATGCATTATATAAATATATTTGCAGGTTAGATGTTATAAAACTTCCATATATAGAAATATCCCTTCCAAAATAAATCTTGATATGAATGCAAATGCTTTCCTTTTGCCTTATCTCTGGTGAGTGATGAGTCCGTTTTTTAAGATAGAAGCCTGGAATGGGAGTGCAGACTGGTACAACCACTGTTCAATGTGGAGATACTTCAAAAAATTAGGTTTGGAAGTCCCATTTGTCCCAGCGATCCTCTCTGCTTGGTATATTTCCAAAAGAATTAAAAGAGTCATACCACAGTGGTATATGCACACCCATGTTTATAATGGCACAATTTATCATAGCTAAAACTTGGAAACAGGCCAAGTGTCCATCAACTGGAGACTGGATAAAGATGATTTGTTTTTTTTTTTTTTTCTTTTCTTTTACAAAAAATGAAACATATGGATTTAATCAAAATTTTAACATAGCCACATTGGGTAGATGGAGGAAGGCAGAAGGGGGCAATATTATGGGTTTCAAAATACTCCTCCTTTTGTGAATTGACGAAAATATATGCATTTTATTATAGGGTGTGTGTGTGTATAAAGCAATGCAAAGTCGTTGCTTCTGGGAACAATATGTTATTCTAGGCTAAGCAGGTAGGTATATGCTGTGTTTAGTTATGAACCTGTAAGATCCACCGTCTATTTTATGGGTTTTTAGCGGTGCAGGGTTTTTCTCTGCTGTTTAGGCTGGCCTTGAACTTAGCATGTCATGTAGTCCAGGCTGGCATGGAATTCGTTGCATCCTCCTGCCTCAGCCTCCCAAGTGCTGGGATGACAGGCGTGTGCCACTATTCTCAGATATTTTATGGATCTTTACAACTTCTTTATATACAGACTGGGATAAAGCTAAAAAGTAAGATGATGAGACACCCCCCATATTTAAAGACAACATCCTTTTGAAAAGTTTATAGACAGGGCCCGGCATGGTGGCACATGCCTGTAATCCCTGCACTCCAGAGGCTGAGGCAGGAAGATCACTGTGAGTTCAAGACCAGCCTGGGCTACGTAGTGAGTTCCAGGTCAGTCTCAACTACATAGTGAGACCCCGTCTCAAAAAAAAAAAAAGTTTATAGACAGTACTATTAATAAACCATTTCTCACTCACTCTTTATGATTTAAAGATTAAATTTATTTCAAAAGTACTTATAAATGAGTGAAACATGACTAAAGCATTTATAGTGAATTTGTCGAATACATAATTTTTATAGGATAACAATAGCATTACTATGGTAGTGTTTGTTTTGTTTTTATTAAAATTAGTTATTTTCAAGATTGATTATTAGGGGGGCTGGGGATTTAGCTCAGTGGTTCAGTGGCCTTGCCTTGCAAGCGCAAGGACCCGAGTTCAATCTCCGGTACAAAAAAAACAAAAAACAAAAAAAAAGATTGATTATTAGTAACAAATCCTGAGTTTTAAAATTCTTGGGCCAGCAAGGCATAGTGGTACTCACTTTATAATCCCAATACTTGGCAGGCTGAGGCAGGAAGGTTGCCATGAGTTTGAGGCCAGCCTCAAACTGTGGGTTCAAGGCCATTCTGAACTACACAGCAAGACCCTGTCTCAAAAAACCAAACAAACAAAAAATTTGGGACCAGAAGTATTTTGGAATATGTACATATGTAGAATGTGATTGGATGGAACCTCAGTCTAAGCATTAAATTCATTTATGTTTCATAAATGTATACATAAACTGAAGGCAAAAATACAGTATTTTTCATGATGCTGCATATGAATAATAGTTGCATGGTTGTAATTTTTCACTCAAGACATCATATTGGTGCCCAAAGTTTTGGATTTTAGAACATTTTTGGTTTTTTAATTACAGATGTTAAGCTGAGTATGGTGGCAGATGCCTATAATCCCAGCACTCTGGAGGCAGAGGTAGGAGGATTTTGCAAGTTTGAGGTCGGCCTGAGCTACGTAGTGAATTCAAGGCCAGCCTACAAAGTGAGACTCTGTCTTACAAAAAAAAAAAAAATTAGAGATATTAAGTCTGTACTATGCCAAGGCAAGGTAGAAATATAATTGGGGGGGCGGGAATTGAACCAGAGCCTTCACAATGAGCTTCATCATTGGTGTAACTTTTTTTTAATTTTTATTTTGAGACAGGGTCTGGTTAAATCGCTAAATTCCCCACGCTGGGCTTCAGCTTGTAATCCTTGTGCCTCAGTCTCCCAGAACACTGGGATTATAAAAGTGTGTCACCACACCCAGCTCAAAACATGATACTTTTTTTTTTTTAGATTAGTCATATTTTAATGCTCAATAGTTGTAGGTAATAACTCACCCCTTTGTTAGATGTATGGGATAGGAGCTTAGAGGTAGTGAAAATTGTGACTAGACGCAAGACTTTGTATTGTTTTGGGATTTATACACTATTACTTATGTCAGAGCCTGTGCCACCGTTAAAGCATGATACTTTTTTTTTGGTACTGGTGATCGAAATAGGGACCTTGTGTTTGCAAGGCAGGCAGTGAAATCACTAAGCTAAATCCCCGGCCCAAAACATGATACTTTCAAAAATTATTTCTTATTCACACTACTTTATGGTAAAAAAATTTCATATTAAATGTTCCTAAAAGCAAATAATTTGTGCTGCAGATGGTTTTTATTTTCCTGACATCTACATTATACAACTCTAATTACTAACTCTTCCTCATCACTGAAGTATGTGTTCTTCTTTATCCTCAGTGCCGTGAATCCTTGAGGTTGCGGGCGCCCCTTCTCTGTGTTTCCGTTGTTCAATCTTGCCTTGCTGGGATATGATGGCTTGGCTGAGACTGTCATGGGCGGGGTCTTCCCCTTTGTCTTCACTTTCTGCTATGTCCTCAATTTCTTCTAGTTCAGCAGTTTTCTCTTCTTTTATTCTTCTCTGGAAGCTCATGTTCTCCAAGCTTATTTTTCGGACAGGCATAACTTAAGTGTCCACTTTCCCCACATTCATTAAAGCTTTGATTTATTAAAGTAGTTTCACTTTCAGATGAATTCAGCTGCTCTCCAATTGTCAGTAGCAATGCTTACCTCCGTTACTCTACCATACGACTGTTTGTTGTTTATGGCTCTGGTACAGTTTTGTACAGAGTCTTTATCCAAAACTAGTATAAATTCATCCCCTTACTCTTCCTCGTATCTTTGTCTTTCATTATAGTAACCTTTACAACTTTGCCATGCTTGGAAAATATCCAGTATAAGTCATTTGTTTGTCAGGGAGAAGGGCAAGTTGGACACATATACTGTTCTCCTGATTGGTGCCAAGACACCACTCATTTCCTCAGGGACAGTGGCCCTGGTGCAGGGGGGATTCAACCCCAACTTTTCCTCACCCCTAGCAGCGGCCTGGGCATTCTGCACCCAGGGTGTGTGTCAGGGGCTGGCACAGAGGATCATGGCAAGATACAGTTTTTCTATAAAATGGAGTACTGCTCAGCCATAAAGAATGAGAAACTAGAGTCATTTATAGCTAAATGGATGCGTATTGAGGCCATACCCTTAAGTGAAATAAATAGGACACATATGTGTAAATACCGAGTAATTTTTCTGGTATGAAAAAGTAAAAGTGTAAATAAGGTTCAAATTGTATAATTCATAATGTGAAATAGGAAGAAAAGGGCTAAAGGAGTCGGGGAAGTGGGAAAGGTAGGGGAAAGGGAAAAAAATATGAGAAAAGGAAGAAATGGAAACAAAGTCTTTTTAAAAAGGGAAGGGTGGATGGTGGGGGATTTAGCTCAGTGGTGCCGCCGCCTGCCTCACAAGCACAAGGTCCCGCATTCGATCCCCGGTAACAAAAAAAAAAAGGAAGGGTGAAGGGATACCATGGGTGTGGGGAAAAAATAAGAACCAAGATACATCATGTAAAGGTACAAGATCCTAATGATGAATGTAACTGTACTGTATACCTAAAAAGTACCAGTGAACTTAATGGGGGAAAAAAAGCCTGGATTTTATGATATATATATGCTTCTTTGTTTACATATAATACACTGTTAACTCAGATTTAATTAATTCTTCATTCTGAATATCTCCTATGCCTTTCTTCCTCTTTATTCTTTGCCTTTATATTCTAGTATAGATTGTAGGATGAAAGCAAGAACCTTTTGGCTTTCTTTATCAGGTGTGTCTATGATGTAATTCATTTTCAGTAGCATACTTAGAGTAGTTACATTAAAATACTCAAGTACAAACTGGATCATTTGTGGGTCTGCTCATATTGGCTTGGTCTTTCTGTTGAATTTAGTCATAATTTCTTGCCTTTTTGAATGCCTTAGAAATGTAAATGTTGATTGTATGTCACACATTACATATGACAAAAGCATATAGGTAACAGTTTTCCCTCTGGACAGGGATTGAACTTTTTAGGCAGGTAAGTGAAACTACCTTGATTGATTCAATCTAGTTTGTAATTGAGCTGGATCAGAACTGAACAGCCATTTTATTTTATTTGTATTTATTTATTTTTTGGTACCAGGGATTGAACTCCGGTCCTTGCGCTTGCGAGGCAGATGGTGGTGGAACCACTGAGCTAAATCCCCAGCCTTGAACAGCCATTTCAGTCAGTTGCCCTCCAGTGTATCTCTGTCCCTTAGGCATATCCCTCTCAGACTTTGAGTTCAGAGTTTGACAGTTTCCATACTCTCAAAACATCAAGATAATTCAGATTTGGCCAGGAATTTAACTTAGTGGCGCCACTGCCTGCCTTGCAAGCAGAAGGTCCTGAGTTTAATCCCCTGTACACCCCCCAACAAAAAGATATTTTAGATATTCTTCAGAGGTTTGAGAATAGCTTTTAAAAAAATATTAACTGATTGAGCCAGGGTCTCCTCTTGCCCAGGTGGGGCTTAAACTTTCTGTCTCTGTTTCTCTCGTTTGTTTGTTTGTTTGTTTGTTTTTTGAGACAGTTGAGACTGACCTGGAATTCACTATGTAGCCCAGGCTGGTCTCGAACTCACAGCGATCCTCCTGCCTCAGCCTCCTGAGTGCTGGGATTGCAGGTGTGCACTACCATGCCTGGCTAGGGCTTCAACTTTCAATCCTCCTAAAGTAGTAGCCTTCCCATAATGCTAATATTATAGGCATGTGTCACCCTACCAGACAAAGCCACAGAGATTTTACTTTTGATTGGTTCACAGGGTCCTGACTTCCTCCTTAGGACTCAGGAAACATGAGGAAAATCAACTCTGTGTTGAAGACTTCTATAGTTTTTTTTGTTTGTTTTTGTTTTTTATTTTTTGAGACAGGGTCTCACTATGTAGTGAGACTGACCTGGAACTCACTATGTAACCCGGGCTGTTCTCGAATTGACAACGATCCTCCTGCCTCAGCCTCCGGCATGCGCCACCACACCTGGCTATGGTTTCTAATTGATAGTGCCAGTCCTGTGTCTAGTATATACACCATATATCCACACAGGATTGACTCTGCTCTGCTGGTTCTCTGTTGCCCAGAAGAGTCCTCCTGATCCGACCTGGGGAAGCATGCCAGCAAGGAAAGACCTTTCTTTTAGACTTTCAGTCATTTTGTCTTTCAAGCTTCCACTGCTGTCCCACATCTCCAAAAACATGATTTTTGTAATTTAAGCTTTTTAGTTTTTACCGTGGGAGCTCTTGCTTATGATTTTCCACATCCTACTGAAGAATATAATACTATTCAAACCACCCAGGCAGTTCTCATTTGTAGCTCAGCAAAATTGCTGTTAGTATTTATCAGGTATTACTTGTGAATGGGCGAGTCTTAGATGTTATATCTATTAATTTAACTTACTTGGGACAAGATAGTTTCTTAAGAGTTTTGACATACTCATAAGAATAGTCTGCTGAAAATGAGGAATAATTTAGGCTATAGCCTTTTAGTTACGCAAAGATTTCTGATTTTCAGGTTATTAAGTAACATCTTTAGACTGATACTAATATGTTCTTTTATGTTGAAATGTGAGTTTAAAGTTCACTGACGTCATGCCCCACCCCCAATAAATAATTGCCACCTGTTTACATTGTAACCTTGAAGCTACTATATTTTAATACAGTTTAAATTACAGGCATTTCTATCTACTCTTTGTCAGGTACAAGGCTTTTTGAAACATTGGACAAAAATGAAAGACATATTCTGCTGAGAGACACAAAACAATAAAATACATAAGCAGCTTAGCATGTTGGGTGAGAACTGCTATGGAAAAAGTTAAATAGAATAGTTTAAAAAAGGGAGACGGAAGCTGGGCATGGTGGTGCATGCCTGTAATCCCAGCACTCGGGAGGCTGAGGCAGGAGGATCACTGTGAGTTCAGACCAGCCTGGCTGCACAGTGAGTTCCAGGTCAGTCTCACTACATAGTGAGACCCTGTCTCAAAAAGGTGGGGGGGGGCACAGAGTGCCTGTGTGGTTGCAGTTTTAAAATGAGGTGGTTGAATTAGGTCTCTTTGAGAAGGAATCTTTTAAGCACTTCTAGTTATTTATAGACAACCTGCTTCAATGAATACTTGATATGAATTAAAAGGCAAGAATTCGATTTTTAGTTTGTTAAAAAAAATTTTAGATGTAAGCTCAAAATGCTTGTATCTCAAAAAAATTGTCTCAATTTTAAATGCATATTTTAAATTGTAAAAGCTTGCTTATAAGAAATGTAAACATTTTTGAATTAAAAAATCTTAGCCCTAGCATAGTGGTACACATTTATAATCATGACACTGTGGGGCAGGAGGGATCACAGGTTCAAGAACAGCCTGGTCAGCTTAGTGACTTGGACGTATCCTGGCTCAGACTACAAAATAAAAATCTAGACACATTCAGCCCGCTGATCTTTGACAAAGGTGCCAAAATACACACTGGAGCAAAGAGAGCCAACCTCTTTTAACAAATAGTGCTGGGAAAGCTTGCTCTCCACAGGCAGAAGATTGAATCTTTACCCACATCACTGCCATATGCTAAACTAAAATCATGTGGTTCAAAGATCTAAACATTAAAACAAGCACTTAACCTGCTGGAAGATAATATAGGTAACCCTCTTGAAATCATAGGCATAGGCAAGACCTTTCTGAACAGAACACAAGTTGCATAACAAATAACATTTAAGGGGCCAGGGATTTAGCTCAGCAGTTTGGTGGCCTGCCTTGCAAGTGCAAGGACCCAAGTTCAATCAAAAAATACCAAAAAAATACAAATAGCATTTAAGAATCAAGCGCCCGGGCTGGGGTTTTAGCTCAGTGGTGCCACCACTTGCCTTACAAGCACAGGGATCCAAGTTCAATCCCTGGTACCAGGAAAAAAAAACAAAAAACAACAAATTATATCAAATTGCAAATATTCTGCATAGCAAAGGAAACTGCCGTTTTTTTCCATATGTGTATTCTAACACTGATGGTAAAGTGTTTACAAAATGGAATACTGCGTGTAATTATATGTAACCTGCTATTTACTACTAAGCCTCCTTCCATAGCAGTGTAATTCCATAAAGTTCTTTGTCAAAAACTTTGGGCCAGATACATTTGGAGAGTTAGACCTTTTCTGAAAGTTTTCCCAGAGTATTTCACGTTGGTACCTTTCAAGTTGAGCTCTTAACTGCATTTTTCAAAGTTAAACATATTATTTGTAATAGCATAATTTTGTTGCTCTGAACATAGTGATAAAAATAAGGCACAGGGCCAGGGATTTAGCTCAGTAGCACTGTGCCTGCCTCACAAGTACTAGGAATCTCTCTGAGAATCACAATACAACATACTGTGTACTGATTCCCCCATACCAAAAGGGGGGCGCAATTTCTTGAGATAATTTTTTAAGAATTTCTTGTTATATTGCTTTTTTTATTTCTTTCAGAGAAAATTTATCAAAGGACCTCTACTTGATATCCCAAATGGATAGTGATCAGTTTGTCCCAATATGGACAGTTGCCAACATGGAAGAAATAAAAAAGTTGACTACAGATCTCGATCTAATTCTTGAAGTGTTGAGATGTATGTAAATAATACACCTTTTAACTTGTGTTTGAATTTTAAGAATTTAAATATTTTCTGGATTTCTGATTATTTAAGGGGTCATTTTGATGGTTCTGTTTTGTTCCCACTATTTTATTTTACCTGGCTGCCAGACACTATGTGTGTGTTCAGCTTCTCTATCAATTCTGTTCTTCGGTTGTTAACTTTAATGTTCAGTTAGCAAGCATATGTAAGAGTGTCATCCTTGTATCTATCTGCTGCAGTCTGTTTCATATTTGAACCTAAGAAAGAAAACAGTTTATTCCACAGCTGAGACATGCCTATACACAATTAAAGTATCAGCTTCATAAGTTAATACTAATCTTAAACTGATTTCACAGCCTATGAGTTATGACCACAATTTGACAAGCACTCCTCTGAAGTTTGGTAAATAAATATTTCTTGTTGGGAGCAGTGGTGCATGCCTGTAATCCTAGATTACAGGCTGATGGAAGAGAATCACAAGTTCAAGCCCAGCTTGGGCAGTTTAGCAATTTAGAGAGACCTTGTCTCTAAAAAATTAAAGTGGGGTGGAGGCCCTGTGTTCAGTCTCTAGTACTGCAGATAATATTTCTCTTCTTTCTTTCCTTCCTTCCTTTTGGTTTTTTTGAGACGGGGTCTCACTATGTAGTTGAGACTGACCTGGAACTCACTATGTAGCTCAGGCTGGTCTCAAACTCACAGCAATGCTCCTGCCTCAGCCTCCTGAGTGCTGTGATTACAGGCATGCGCCACCACAACCAGCTCCAAAAATTATATTTCTTGATTGAGGTCCTAAGAATTTTTAGTGCTGTTTGCATCTTGTATTACTATTTCTTGGCAACCTCTCAAGGGGTTTATTAAACTACTGGAGATCTTTACTTTTATATGAAGTTTGTTCAAAATGCTTAAAAGTTAAATATATAGCAATAGATTTATAAGGGAGTTTGTATAGACATCATTTCTTAAAAATGTCACAGTCTTGTCTACAAAGAAAATTGGCAGAGACAAGCAAAATACCTCCTCTGGTTTAGTTTGGAACCTTGCACTCATACCAACCCTTTATTCTTTCGCTGCTGTTTAAAATTGTTTACCTGCTTAGAGAAGTGTGGCATATTGTGGCACTGGAGGAACTAGAAATAGAAGTGTTGGCTATGAGGAAGTATCTTTTCCCACTATTTCCTCAAAAATCAGCATCCAAAAAATGACTTGGATTTTTGAAGTAGTAAAAGTATAAAAGTAAATCTTTTATGACACTATTAAAGTTGCTACCTATCACTTTTTTGTTTGTTTGTTTGTTTTTGTTTTTTTGAGACAGGGTCTCACTACGTAGTTGAGACTGACCTGGAACTCACTGTGTAGCTCAAGCTGATCTTGAACTCACAGTGATCCTCCTGCCTCAGCCTCCTGAGTGCTGGGATTACAGGTGTGGGCCACCATGCCAGGCTTACCTATCACTTTTAAATGAGACTCTTCTTTTTCAAATTTTAGCATCTCCAATGGTACAAGTTGATGAGAGGGGTGAGAAAGTGAGACCGAGTCATAAACGTTGTATTGTGATTCTCAGAGAGATTCCTGAAACAACACCAGTAGAGGTAAATAATTACTGTTAAAGTGAAATGTTCTTCATAACTGTTTAAATTGGAGGAGTTACACAAGCAAAGTATAGCTCTGACTTCATATCAGTTACTGTGAGTAGGATAAATTGTATTGTTTTGTTCTGAAATATTAGAACAGTACAGAGGGGGGAAAAGAATTTTTTGTTCTTAGAAGGGTAGACTAGATGGTGTGGTAAAACTAATTATAAACTTATTGGTTTGACTGGCAGTTAAAATATAAAGATTTTTGAGGGATTCATCTGGAAGGCTAATTTTTTTTAAAGATTAATGAAAACAAAACTAACCTGATTAGCAAAATAAAGCAAATGTACATTCGTAAAGATGGCTTAGTACATGCTTAAGAGTAAAGTAATAATTTAATGAAATAATCCAGAAACAGACTCATATGTTTATATGTAATGATACTTAATAATTAGATTCTGCCAGATAGTGCTTGCTTTATAGTTTACAGTCATTTAAAGGCAAACTTTTTATTATCTGTTTACAGCTAAAGAATCTGAGCCTTTGGATGGTTAAATAACTTTGTCCAAGGGTAAATGACAGAGTCTGAATTTAAACTTGATCTCTCCAATTCTAAAAGCTATCTTTATTTATTTTTGGTGCCAGGAATCAAACTCAGGACCTCACCTTTGCCAGGCAGGTGCAGTGAGCTAAATCCACAGCTGTTAAGCCTGCTTTTCTTAACCACTGTGCCTCAGAGCTTTGCTCTGAATTGCCATGTTAAGGTATTATAAATTTTAAAAGTTAGAATTTCTCAATAATTGATTTATTATAATTTAATAGCCATTTCGAAAAGAATTTTTTGTTACTTGCCAGATGACAAATAGGATGCCTTAGTTAATCATTTTGCCCACAGTCATTCAGCATTAAATCTCTGAATAAAAATTTTCTAAATTTAGAATCAATGAGAGAAATTAGAAAAGAAATTGCCTCAAGATGTTGGATTTTGAACTGCATATCAAAAGTAACTCAGGGCCGGGTGTGGTGGCACACGCCTGTAATACCAGCACTTTTGGGAGGCTGAGGCAGGAGGATTGCTGTGAGTTGGAGACCAGCCTGGGCTACATAGTGAATTCCAAGTCAGTCTCAACTGCATAGTGAGACCCTGTCTCAAAAAAACACAAACAAAAAAAAAACCAAAAAAAGTAACCCAGGACCTTTGCACTGAACTACATCCCCAGTTTTTTAATTTTTTATTTCTAGCTAAGTTACTATATTTCCATGCTGGGCTCAATTTGTAATCCTCTTGCCTCAGCCTCCCAGAGTGTTGGGATTATAGGCACGCAACACCACACCCAGCTTTTTGGGTTGGTGGGGGGGTGACTTTGTTTGTTTGTTTGTTTGTTTTTAATAATGGTAGACCAGGCAGGAAATGGACAGATTTTAGTATAAGGGAAATTTAGCTTGCCACCAGAAAGTGACAGACTTTTGCTGATCATAAAATAAGGGTCCATCCCTAAATTAAACAAAACATTGCTGGGGATTTAACTCAGTGATTCCACTGCCTGCCTCGCAAGCACAAGGTCCCGAGTTTGATCCCTGGTACCTAATAAAAACAAAATTTATGCGGTTTTGTTTCAGAATAATAAACAGTTAAATGAGGAAATAGAAAAGGAATAAAAGACGAAGAGATACTAAGCCTTACCAGTAAACAAAAACAAAAAAAATGCCCATTATTGATTTTTGTAAGAGTTGACTACAAATTTCTTTTTTAGGAGGTGAAAGCTTTGTTCAAAAATGAAAACTGCCCCAAAGTGATAAGCTGTGAGTTTGCGCACAATAGCAACTGGTACATCACCTTCCAGACAGATACTGATGCACAACAGGTGAGATTTTTCTTCTGAAACAAGTTCTAATGGTAAAAGAAATCAGTATATTTCAATTAAGAAAATGTTTGCTTACTCCAGTGGTATAAGGAGTCGTGAACGCATTGGTTACCTTTTGGCTTTTGTTTAATAGGTTTCCTGTTTGATCATCTTCATAAAGCTTTCTCAGTTTCAATTTAAGAACATTTTGTTTCCTGTCAATAAAAAAGTTTTAATATACATAGTTAAAATTAATATGGCAATTGAACCACACCTGCCTGGCAAGCCCAAGGTTCTGAGTTTGATCTCTGGTAACAACAAAAAAACTAATTTAAAAAAAAAGATATATATATATGGCTATTGAAAACCATGTACTCAATAGTATTTCTAGTAACCAGTGTACACCTGCAATTGCTGTGAGTTCGAGACCAGCCTGGACTACGTAGTGAGTCCCAGGTCAGTCTAAACCACATAGTGAGACCCTGTCTCAAAAAAGAAAAAAAAAAGTTCTTGGGGCTGGGATTTAGCTCAGGGTTTCCACCACCTGCTTCGCAAGTGCAAGGTCCCAAGTTTGATCCCTGGTACGCCCCCAAAAATAGTTCTGGAAGTTTTGACTCTGTTTTATTCTTAATTGTTATATCCTCCTTAAAGGAAACAGAAATACTTTATACTTATGATAGTACCATAAAATAACTCAAGATTTTTGTTGTTCTTTAATTCTTCATTTTAGAAATTTATCTGATTGAATCAGAGTTGCTATAGTGCTATTTTAGGTCTGTTTTGAATCTTGCATATTTTATCTGCAGTAATCCTTATATGTGAACTGCAGCTGAGGATGCCTTAAGTTTTTACTTGTCATTCTTTTATCACTCTAAGAAAGTTTTTGGAAATAATTGCTAGTTCCAGCTTCTTCTGATGAATAAAGACAGCTTTAATAAAATGTCTGTCTGAATGCTAATGAAAGTTCTTTCTGTTTTGTTCACAGGCATTTAAATACTTAAGAGAAGAAGTTAAAACATTTCAGGGCAAGCCAGTCATGGTAAGAAACATTTGTTGTTTGGTAGAGGGCAGTGAAACAAGCATTTTTTATTTTTTGCTGTTTGAGTAAGGAAACACAAACATAATATTTTATAGGCCAATAGTAAAACAAACTTTTTTTTTTTGTACCAGGGATTGAACTTGGGTCCTTGAACTTGAGAGGCAGGCCTCATTACCACTGAGCTAAATGCCTGGCCCCGGCCAATAGTAACTTTAAAGACATTTCTGGCTTGTATGATGTGTTATTTCAGAAAATTAGGTCATAGGTCATTAAAATAGTCTGTATACAGCAGTTCTTCCCAAATAACTATATAAAGTATTTGGTAGTTCACAACCTATGATTCCAGATCTCAAAATGAACAATAGATATAATTTCTTAGTAACACAGGTGAAAAACATTTTTGTACCTTAACCTCATCTCAGTTACCTGCATTTTGACCTTGATATCCAGTCATCTTGGAACTTAGGAATTATCATTGATGATGCTTGTTCACTGTCTTTACATGTCTAATCTGTTCTCAGGTCCCGTGAAATCTACCTTCAAACATCTTTCCATCATTATTGTTCACCATTGATTAGGCTTGAATAATTGGAGTGGCTTCATAATTGCCATTAGAGCTACCATTTAAAACTGTAATAACATGGGTTTTTTGGGTTTTTTCAGGGTGGGGTGCTGGGGATCAAACTCAGGACCTTGTGCTTGCGAGGCAGGTGGAAGCACCACGGAGCTAAATCCCCAGCCCAACGTGTACTTTTTTTTTTAACATACTCCTCATTCTCCATGTGATATAGCTAGTCTCATCATTACTTGAAGTGTAGTGCATTATACTAACTCCTCTCTGTTACGTTATTGTATGTCCTCTCTGTTGTGTTATTGTATGTCAGTTTCTGTTATAGTGCTTTACATGTATTAGCTATTTTATCCTTAAAAGAACATAATGAGAGGGCTGGGGATGTAGCTCAGTGGGGCCCCCGCCTGCCTCATAAGTGCAAGATCTCAAGTTCGATCCCCAGTACCCAAAGAAAAGAGAACAAATGAAGTAGTATTTTGTTTTTCCCTATTTTACTAGTAAATAAGAATAACCTACTTGGTTTCACAAAACTAGTAATGTTATATTTATTAATAGGTATATGTCAGGCACTGTTTTAAAATTTTGACACATTTAAGTCTTGTTGCTGTGTGGGAGGTGGTATTACTAGTGTTTTTTTTGTTGTTGTGGTTATTGTTTTTGTTTTTTGTACCAGGGATTGAACTCAAGATCTTGTGCTTGTGAGGCAGGTGGAGGACACTAGTTTTTATATTACGGATGAGCTGTTTGCTCAGTGTCATTCTGCAGCCTCCCAAACAACTGAGACTGTAGATACCTGCCTCTGCATGTAGCCTTTCTCTGCCTTTGATGCTGTCTTCCGTTACCTCCTCTTCCTATTTTGTGTTATTCTGAGTCATCTAATAACTTCAAGGTTTAATTTTTCAGATTAATTTTTGATATACCTTTTATTAATTTGATATGTAGTATAAGAAATCTAGTTCATTTCTTTCATATATAGATCAGTTGCCTCAGAATATATTTGACTAGTTTGTCCTTTCATAACTTGTGTGCAACACCATGTCTCAGATGTTTCAAGTTTTTTTTGTCCTATTGATCTATACTTTTCTAAACCAATACTATTACTTTAATTATACCGTCGTTTTATAGGATCCTTATTTCCAGATGCACTTGCCTTTCACTTGTTCTTATTTTTCAAGATTATCTTAGCTGTCTTTTTTTTTTTTTTTTTTTTTTTTTTTGTTTTTTTTAAAAATATTTTTTTTTTTTTTTTTTTTTTTTTTTTTTTTTTTTTGGTGGTACTAGGGATTGAATTTGGGTCCTTGTGCTTGAAAGGCAGGCAGCAGAACCACTGGGCTTTGTTCTGTTTTTTCCTTTTATGTACAGGGGGTTGAACTCAGGACCTCACACTTGCGAGGCAGGTGACAGAACCACTGAGCTAAATCCTGGTCCTTGTGGCTATTCCTAAAACCATTACTTTTTCATACACATTTTTTTTAAAAAGTACGCACCCTCATATGAAGGCTGGGAATTTGGCTCAGTGGTGCTGCCACCTGCTTCACAAGCACAAGGACCTGAGTTCGATCCCTGGTACAAAAAAAAAGTTCATACAAATTTCAGAATGTTTGTCATGGTGTCAACAAAACCAAACAAAAACCATGTTTGGAATAATGGAATTGTATTTATTGTTTAAATGATTATAATGGGTACTTTTATCCTGAGTTTATTTACTTTTTTTTGTGAATAATATTTCAGTATTAATGCAGAGCTGCACTCTTTACCTTTTTAAAGTGTCTTAGTTTGACGTCTTTTTTTTTTATGTTCTCCAACCTTGCTGAATTCCTTTATTATATTGAATAGTTTGGCTCTTGTGGATTGTCAGCCTGAGGGGTAATATTGTCTGGAAATAAGCAGTGTATTTCATTATGAAAATCTTTTCTCCCCCCTTTTAAAAAATGATTTCTGGGCCAGGGATTTAGCTCAGTGGTGCTGCTGCCTGCCTTGCAATTGCAAGGTCCTGAGTTTTATACCCGGGACCAAAAAAAACGATTCCTTTGATTGACCATCTTGCAGTATTACTGCCAGAAATTCCTATTTGCGTGAGTGCGTGTGTGTGAGGAATTGAACTCAGGGCCTGTTATTTGGTAGGGCAAGCACTTTACACTGACCTACCTCCCCAGCCCACACATTAACTTATATCGTTCGGTAAAGCAGAACAATTTAACATCTGGAAGTACAGGAGCCAGAGTCAGGAATCCTATGTTCCAGCTGTGGTACTGCTTTCAGCCACCAGCTCTTGGATTTTGAGTAGGTCAAACTACCTGTAAAATTTTGGTTTCCTTACTTACAGTGCACATGCTCATTGCTTCTAAATTCTTGTCATTAAAAAAATGGTGATCTTGGATTAAGGGCGTAGTTTAGGGGTAGAGCACATTTTTTACAGTGTGCAAAGCCTTGCGTTTGATCCCCAGCACCAGAAACAAAACAAAACAATGATCATGGAGAATAAGACCATCAAGTTGATAATATTTGTCCACTTGTTCCCTCATCCACTGATTATTTCACATTGAGGCAATGCTTCATTCTGTTTTAGCAGAGACAGTCTCACTGTGTAGTTCAGGCTGATCTTGAACTCACTATGTAGTCTAGGCTGGCCTTGAAATTGTGGCAATCTTCCTGCCTCAGCCTCCATCACACCTGAATTTCGATAGTAACATCTTCTATCATTTCTCTTCAGTCGAAATCATTAGTATCTCTTACATTTCCCACCAGTGATTAATTCTCTTAATTTTTCTTTATCTGAAAACGTCTTCTTTACCTCATTCTGTCCACCACCCCCACCACCCCCCAACAGGGATTGAACTCAGGACCTTGTGCTTGCCTGGCAGTATGGTGCCACTGAGCTACATCCCCAGCCCTTCACACTCATGTGTTTTGGGTTTTATTGTTTGTTTGTTTGTTTTGTTTTGTTTTGTTTTTTTGAGACAGGGTCTCACTATGTAGTTGAGACTGACCTGAAACTCACTATATTGTCCAGGCTGTCTTGAACTCACAGTGATCCTCCTGCCTTGGCCTCCCAAGTGCTGGGATTACAGGCATGCACCACCATGCCCTGCTCGCACTCATGTTTAATGAGTATTTTTCAGCTACAGATTTCTGAGCTGGCAGCTAAAAATACTTTTCTATCTTTTAAAGATGTCCTGATACTGTTTCTTATGAGATATTCCCATCCATTCACATTTTCATTTTTCCATTAGTATTCCTCAGTGTATATAATGATGTGTCCTTTTCCTTTCTTGCCTGTCAAAATATTTTCTGTTTTTTTGTTTGTTTGTTTGTTTGTTTGTTTGTTTTTGTGCTGGCGATCAAACTCGGGCCCTTGCACTTGCAAGGCAGGCGGCTGAACCATTGAGCCAAATTCCCAGCCCAAAATACTTTGTTTTCTCTTTGGTTTTCAGTAGGTTGAGTGTGGTGTTTTTGTTTTTTGTTTTTTGTTTTTTTTTATATCACCACCACCAGGGATCGAACTCAGGACTTTGTGCTTTCTAGGCAGGTGCAGCACCACTGAGCTAAATCCCTGGCCTTGTTTTTGGCTTTTTGAGACAGGGTGTAGCTATATATTTAAAGCTGGCCTTGAGCTTATTGTGTAGTCCAGACTGGCCTCGAAACCATAGTGATCCTCCTGCCTCCGACCCCCAACTGCTGGAATTATGGGATGTGCTACCATACCTGGCTAGTATTTGCATTCTTATTTTTATTTTTTGTTTGTTTGTTGGTGCCAGGCATTGAACTCAGGACCTTGCTTCTTGCAAGACAGGTGGCAGAACCATTGAGCTAAATCCCTGGCCCTAGTATTCATTTTTAAAAATGACTTCCTGTAGCTGCCAAAATTTCTCCTTAACTTTGGCTTATTTAGACAATAATTTTCCTGTTATCCATGAATATGTTTATAATGCTAAAATCTTTGTTATTTTCTAATATCTGGATCATCTTAAAATCTTTTTCTTTTGGCTGTATTGCGTTATTTGTTTGTTTGTTTGTTTGTTCATTTTGTACCAGGGATCAAACTCGGGTCCTTGAGCTTGTGAGGCAGGCAGCAAGAACCACTGAGTTAAATCCCTGTCCCTGTATCATATTATTTAGTGAAGCTATATGTTAAAGTCAATCTTTTCAAGTTTAGCTATCATTGATTTCTTTTGTTCTCTTTTTCTTTTGTGGTGCTGAGATTTGAACACAGGACCTTGTACATGGTAACAAGTGCTCCACCACTGAACTATATCCTCATTCTAATAATTGATTTATCATTTGATTGGTTATATAGTATGAGGGTGGAAAGGGAGGGGTTTCTGGCCGGTAGCTGTAAGGATCACAAAACATGTCTTCACCCAGGGATTTAGCTCAGTGGTTCTGCCTCCTGCCTCATAAAACATGTCTTGGCTGGGCGTGGTGGTGC